TGATAACAGTATGCTCGGGGAGGTTTGGAGCGGGCTCAGGTGTTGATGTGTGAGGGTGTTCTTATTTGAGTTGGAAATATGTAAGTGAGAAATGAAGATCACAGGAAAATGTGAGCTAAATGTTTTCTTGGCAATCCGGAAAGACAATGAAAGGGTTTGCGATGGGGGAGAGACCCTGGGATAGCTTTATAGCAGATTTCTGTGTGAGCATGGGAGATTGTGTGTGTATATGTGTGTGTAGACAGAGTTCCAATGAGCTCACATACACACACGTATGTAGTTGGGAATAGCAGGATATGTGTTGAGGCCTGGGCGGAGTGTTGTTGATTGATACGTTTCTTTCAGCATGTGAATTAGGATGTAGCACTTGAACTGGATTACTCCAGGAGTCCACGGACAGGTATGACACACTGCGTTTAACGCATCAAGTCATGTCATAACAACCAGTTGGATTTGTGCTTCCTGGGAGAGCTGGGACAGGAGAATACAACAGGCCGTACTTTCTCTTTGAATTTCACTCTCTATTCATCCTTTATCATGTCAATTCTTTCCTCTTTCTCTCCTTATGAACTAATTCCTGTTGGACAGCCATCCAGAGGAGAGAGGCTTAAGGCAAAGGAATTCAACATTTAAAAGCAACAAAGAACAAAGCCAGCTAAATCTTCCAGAATCATCCTGTGTGCCGGAACTATTCCAAGAAAATGAATGAGAATGTGCGTGCACATTCATGAATGAGAAAACGTGAGCATTTTTTTTTTTTTGGTGACACAATATGAAATAATACACAAATTGGAACTGATGATGCTGTGCCTTATTGGATATGAAATATGTAATTTCCTGTTGTTTATGTTTGTTATAATGGCTTTTTCAGGATTTTTAAAATCAGGATACAGCCTTTAGGGGTAAATCGGATAGAGTGAGTGAGAAGAAAGAAAGAAAGAAAGAAAGAAAGAAAGAAAGAAAGAAAGAAAGAAATAGGTGTAAGTTTCAGTGTAAGTTCTGGGATTTTTAAACCCGTTTTATGGTGATGTAAAAGTTAAATAATAGAAATAATAGAAAAATAATAGAACTTGTCTCATCAGGCTACACAATTTAAGGTATAATTCATATTCTTAGCATAAATGGCATGGGACTTAGGGTTAGGGTTGGGGGTTTGTTTAACTCTAATTATGATCAATCATTAAACCCAATTGAAGAAATAAAGGATAAAGAAAGTACAAAGTGGTTCTGTAAGGTGCTCTCTGATTGACTCACCTGATCTGGAGAGGGTTTGTGATTGGTCTGGTCAGAATTGGAGGCCTTGAGGTGGTCATCCTCATAGTTATCAGCCATTAACTTCATGCGGTTCTGTGTCTGTAAAAGAAACAGCTCATTGTAAACTACTGCCAAAACACACACGTACAGACACACTTTTCCACCGTCATTTCGAAATGAGCCCAGTCTGACTCTAAGCCTGGTAGTCTTGGGGCTTGAGTTATCAAATCTCCATCTTAGCCCATGCTGTTAGGAGTGGAAATTTTATCTGTATGAATTCAATTACAAGCATTATAAGAAGTGATTCTGATATCCGTTTTGATAGACAGAGTATTACTTCGAGCCCTACAGCGAGAGGGGATCACAGCATATTCACACAAGTTTCAGCTGGAATGGATTTGAGCGAGGAGGGGGAAAGCGAGCGACAGAGATCTTTTAAACCCAGAGGAGAAGGGTGTGAAAAAGCAATAACCGAGACAGTGAGAGAAGAGCCGAGATGTAGAGAATAGAGAACAAAACACTAGCTTCTCTCAAATATAAACACATACAGTGGGGAAAAAAAGTATTTAGTCAGCCACCAATTGTGCAAGTTCTCCCACTTAAAAAGATGAGAGAGGCCTGTAATTTTCATCATAGGTAAACCTCAACTATGAGAGACAAAATGAGAAAAAAAAATCCAGAAAATCACATTGTAGGATTTTTAAAGAATTTATTTGCAAATTATGGTGGAAAATAAGTATTTGGTCAATAACAAAATTTAATCTCAATACTTTGTTATATACCCTTTGTTGGCAATGACAGAGGTTTGAGAGAGGCGGGGCATAGAGGACCTACAATAATGTACAGTATTTGAAAAATAATGTGTTTTTTGAACATTAAAGCATGTCAACATATTCTGTTACACCAAATACACAAAATAATGATCTTTAAAATAGCATCATATGACCCCTTTAATCCGACCTCATACCTAAACTTAACAACTACCTTACTAACTATTAATAAACTGCAAATTAGGAGTTTGTTCAGGAAAAACTCTTAGTTAATAGTGAATATGTGTTCCCTATTCTAAAGTGTTACCCAGACAGATTTGTGGCCATTGCATAAAGTCAGTTTTTTTTCAGTGTCTTTCGCCATGAGCGCTGTGTGAAATTAAACAAAGATTCCCCAGAACTCACTGTACAATAATTTTTTGCTTTATTGAGATGCTTTTATAATTTGTATTAATATTTGAATTAGTTGTATTTTTATTTTCAGTTTTCGTTTTAATTTTAACTATAGTTTGAATAATTTTGTAGTTTTTTTGTTATTTTTATTAGTTTTTTTTTATGTTTATTATAGTTTTTATAAATTAAGTAATTATGGAATAGTAATTTATTTTCAATTAATTATTATTATTTACATTTTTCTTCGCTGCAGACCAAATCAGAACAGACCTGTGACCTATTTTTGTGGGGACAAAAGGAAACTGTGTGTGTGTGTGTTTGGGGATATGACTTGCAGATATCAAACTGTGTGTATGATATCTGCAAGTCATATTTGACCATTTTTTAAAGTAAAAAAATTATTAAATAATCAGCACCAATACATGCCAAAATGAGGCAGACAAAAAACAGACAGAATAAAAGAAAATCACAGGACATGAGAACAATGAGAGAGGGAAAAAAAAGACCAAAAGAAGAAAGAAGTGAAAGGATGAACTGGAAAGTGTTGGAGAAGAAAATAATAAGCACACTCAAAGACAGTTAACACACGATGAAATACAGAAGAGGAGCATCATTCCCCATTTATACATTTCTCACCCTTCTGAACAAAATGGCTGGGAGAGGGCATGTGATTGGCTATGCCCAAATGCCCTCCTCATCGTCCTATTGGTGGAAAATGAGTGCAGGTTTAATCCAAGGCAGCATGGGATTAAAGAAAGAAGTTATTAGTGGGTGAGAGCAGGTCATTTATTGCACTGAAATTTCATGTTAAGTGACCAATTTTCCCTTTGACAAACACTCAGTGAGGAGCAGCAGTGAGTTTTTCCCATGCAGTGAAAAAAACCTGAATGTTATAAATAAGAGTAAGACACTATGCTCCCATTCATTTCTCCATCTCTCAGCAGAGGGTTAAGGGTGATTAGTTAGCCATTGAACCAAAGTGAAACAGCATTAAGCGGCTGTGCTGCAACAAGAATTGAAACCATAGCAGTATGAGCTTGAAATTAGTAACACACGTGGCCTCTGTCCCATTTGTCCTGGATGGCTGTGGAAAATACCTGCAATGAATGCCGTCTGAGGTCCCTGACGGTCCCAGCTCTGTAGTCGGCATGTTTAGGTGATAACAGTATGCTCGGGGAGGTTTGGAGCGGGCTCAGGTGTTGATGTGTGAGGGTGTTCTTATTTGAGTTGGAAATATGTAAGTGAGAAATGAAGATCACAGGAAAATGTGAGCTAAATGTTTTCTTGGCAATCCGGAAAGACAATGAAAGGGTTTGCGATGGGGGAGAGACCCTGGGATAGCTTTATAGCAGATTTCTGTGTGAGCATGGGAGATTGTGTGTGTATATGTGTGTGTAGACAGAGTTCCAATGAGCTCACATACACACACGTATGTAGTTGGGAATAGCAGGATATGTGTTGAGGCCTGGGCGGAGTGTTGTTGATTGATACGTTTCTTTCAGCATGTGAATTAGGATGTAGCACTTGAACTGGATTACTCCAGGAGTCCACGGACAGGTATGACACACTGCGTTTAACGCATCAAGTCATGTCATAACAACCAGTTGGATTTGTGCTTCCTGGGAGAGCTGGGACAGGAGAATACAACAGGCCGTCCTTTCTCTTTGAATTTCACTCTCTATTCATCCTTTATCATGTCAATTCTTTCCTCTTTCTCTCCTTATGAACTAATTCCTGTTGGACAGCCATCCAGAGGAGAGAGGCTTAAGGCAAAGGAATTCAACATTTAAAAGCAACAAAGAACAAAGCCAGCTAAATCTTCCAGAATCATCCTGTGTGCCGGAACTATTCCAAGAAAATGAATGAGAATGTGCGTGCACATTCATGAATGAGAAAACGTGAGCATTTTTTTTTTTTTGGTGACACAATATGAAATAATACACAAATTGGAACTGATGATGCTGTGCCTTATTGGATATGAAATATGTAATTTCCTGTTGTTTATGTTTGTTATAATGGCTTTTTCAGGATTTTTAAAATCAGGATACAGCCTTTAGGGGTAAATCGGATAGAGTGAGTGAGAAGAAAGAAAGAAAGAAAGAAAGAAAGAAAGAAAGAAAGAAAGAAAGAAAGAAAGAAAGAAAGAAAGAAAGAAAGAAAGAAAGAAAGAAAGAAAGAAAGAAAGAAAGAAAGAAAGAAAGAAAGAAAGAAAGAAAGAAAGAAAGAAAGAAAGAAAGAAAGAAAGAAAGAAAGAAAGAAAGAAAGAAAGAAAGAAAGAAAGAAAGAAAGAAAGAAAGAAAGAAATAGGTGTAAGTTTCAGTGTAAGTTCTGGGATTTTTAAACCCGTTTTATGGTGATGTAAAAGTTAAATAATAGAAATAATAGAAAAATAATAGAACTTGTCTCATCAGGCTACACAATTTAAGGTATAATTCATATTCTTAGCATAAATGGCATGGGACTTAGGGTTAGGGTTGGGGGTTTGTTTAACTCTAATTATGATCAATCATTAAACCCAATTGAAGAAATAAAGGATAAAGAAAGTACAAAGTGGTTCTGTAAGGTGCTCTCTGATTGACTCACCTGATCTGGAGAGGGTTTGTGATTGGTCTGGTCAGAATTGGAGGCCTTGAGGTGGTCATCCTCATAGTTATCAGCCATTAACTTCATGCGGTTCTGTGTCTGTAAAAGAAACAGCTCATTGTAAACTACTGCCAAAACACACACGTACAGACACACTTTTCCACCGTCATTTCGAAATGAGCCCAGTCTGACTCTAAGCCTGGTAGTCTTGGGGCTTGAGTTATCAAATCTCCATCTTAGCCCATGCTGTTAGGAGTGGAAATTTTATCTGTATGAATTCAATTACAAGCATTATAAGAAGTGATTCTGATATCCGTTTTGATAGACAGAGTATTACTTCGAGCCCTACAGCGAGAGGGGATCACAGCATATTCACACAAGTTTCAGCTGGAATGGATTTGAGCGAGGAGGGGGAAAGCGAGCGACAGAGATCTTTTAAACCCAGAGGAGAAGGGTGTGAAAAAGCAATAACCGAGACAGTGAGAGAAGAGCCGAGATGTAGAGAATAGAGAACAAAACACTAGCTTCTCTCAAATATAAACACATATGCACACTCACCTCCCTGATTGATACAGATTCAAGCCTCCACATGTTCAAACCATTGCACAGATTTAACAAGCGCCCCAAGGTTTCCGTGTCTGCGCACCTCTTAGATTAGAAATGCACTAATTTGTTGGAGATGAGGCTAAGCATAAATTCTTTGACACACTCAGCTGTGGTGCTCATGTGGGCGGCATGAGTTTGAATACAGCATGCAACATATAGAGATACCCAACCCCACATCATTTGTGCAAAAACTGCTTTCTTAATTCATTTTTTTTCTTATTTTACCAATTAAAGAGATAATTCACCAAAAATTAAAACTGTCACCATTTACCCTGCTGTAGCTTTTAAATGTTATTCCCACTTCTGTATATTCAAATTGACTTGCAAGAACTATGTCACTATGTCACCAATGTCAAACACGACGCGACTATATGCAACTGAACAAGTGAATATATGCAAAAGTTAACGACATTTGGGGACAGACAACAAGATATTCAGTCACTTTTTGGTCTCCTACTCACACAAAGCTTATATGTGACCCTGGACCACAAAACCAGTCTTAAGTCGCTGGGGTATATTTCTAGTAATAGCCAAAATAAACACTGTACAGGTCAAAATTTTTCTTTTATGGCAAAAATCATTAGGATATTAAGTAAAGATCATGTTCCATGAAAATATTTTGTACATTTCCTACCGTAAATATATCAAAACTTAAATTTTGATTAGTAATATGCATTGCTAAGAACTTAATTTGGACAACTTTAAAGGCGATTTTCTCAGTATTTAGATTTTTTTGCACCCTCAGAATCCAGATGTTCAAATAGTTGTATCTCGGCCAAATAGTGTCATATCCTAACAAACCATACATCAATGGAAAGCTTATTTATTCAGCTTTCAGATGATGTATACATCTCAATTTAGAAAAATTTATCCTTATGACTGGTTTTGTGGTCCAGGGTCACATATATGGCTTCAAAACACTGTTAACACACAGGTTGTTTGGATTACTTTTAAGCTACTTGCTTTTTTGGAGCTTGACAACCTCTGTTCAGAGTGTTTTTTGGTTTTTATGTGGTTGCTAGGGTGTTTGGAGTGTTTTTTTTTTTATCACAATGCTGTGTGGTTGCTAGGTTCTAATTGGCTAAGGTGTCTGAAGTGGTCACAATAATGCTTCCAGTGTATGCAAAACAGCAGCATAAAATTTTTTCACAACTTCTCATTTTGTGTTTTACATTAGAAATTGACATTTGGAACATGAGGGTGTGTAAATGATAACAGGAATGTCATTTTTGGGTGAAATATCTCTGCAAACGAGTAGGGGTCAAAGTAGTGAAGTCTTATCGGACATCATCCCTAGTTTTCATTAAATAAAGCTCACTTGAATTGACATCTATGGCAGGAGTAAGGAAAAATTAGCATGATTACTTTTGGCAAGCCCACCATTACAACTGACTCCACCACCACACAGCGATGAAATGAATCAATAAGACATTACGTTCGAACAAAAGTGGACCCACACCCTGCCCTTCTGGATTCTTCGGCTTGTTTCCCGGCAGCTCCCTGACCAGAATGTGATGGTTGGGCTCCTTCTGTTTGGTTTTCTCACCCTCTTCCCTCCACCTCCCGAACTCCCAATTTTTCTCTCCTACCTGTTTCTCTGTTACAGTTATAAACAATGTTAACCAACCATGGGGCGGCCGTGGGTTTAAATGGGCCAGATAAACCAGTCGTTGTGCACGTTTGGGTCAGAATTATGTCAACGTGAGTGGCCTAGGTAAGAATTAGTATCTTAAAGGGATAGTCCACAGTAAAATTTAAATTGTGTCAAAATTTATGCAACCTCATGACATTCCAAACCAGTTGGGTTTGCTTTTCTAGGTGGAATTTTTTTTTATGCCTATTTTTTCATGCATTGAAAGTTACAGTCACACTGACTTTAATTATATGAACAAAAACAATTGAAACATTCTTCAAAATAGCTTCTCCTGTGCTCAACAGAAGAAAAAGTCATATAGATTTGAGAAAATGCACAGAAAACAGACATCAACATTATACCCACAAGGCACGATGCTTCTGGTTGCCTCGATTTCTTGTGTAGGCACGACTCGTTCTTTACCTGCTAACAAGCCACTTAGTTAGAGGTTAAATAAAAATGTTGAACAAACAACCTCTGAGCAGCTCTTAGACACCCTGTACTCAACAACCTCTCAGTTTTTCACTCTGCCCCACAGAAGGCAGCAGTCAACATGCGGAGAAGAAGACCAGAGGGTGAGACGCTACGAAGGGAAGCCATTATAGCCCCTGGGAAAAAATGCAACATTTTAGATCAACTGTCAATACCTCACAAGGAAGAAAATACCCCATTCGAGACAATTTGTTCCACATGCTCAGTGGGTTAGTGCGAAGGATTTGGGGTGAGGGTTCGGAAAGTCAGGCTTAAGCTCTCTAGCTTGTAGCATGTAAATCCTGGTACAGACCTACAGAAAGCATAAAAGTTATCATGATAACGACAAATGTAAAAGAGGAGGGAAAAATTATACAGTCAACTCTGCTAACATTAGGCATACCTGGCTTTCCCAGCGTGAACATGCATCGTTCATTTCCTATCTTGAAAAATCGGAAAAAAGAAACGTGTACTTAAAAAAAACAATTGGGTTATTTGCTTATTTGCCGGCTCACGAGTGAAGTGGTTTTCGATTCTGACCGAGTTTAGTGGGGCGCAGGGACTCATAAAATGTTTATTGAACTGCACTGGGGAAATCTTTGCTCATAGGTCTGTACAATCGAACAAGTGTGTGTATATGTGCACTGGGGCGCAATCTTGTTTTTGACATTGTGACTGACTCAAGGAATAGTTCACCCAACACATTTACTCCCCCTCATGGCGTTCCAAAGCTGTATGACTTTTTTTCTTCTGCAGAACACAAAAGAAGATATTTTGATGGATGTTTGCCCACACAATGAAAGTCAATAGGGCCACAAAACAAGACATTTTTCAAGAAATGCTTTTTTTGTGTTCCATAGAAGTAAGTAAGTCATACATGATTTTATGGTGAACTGCCTTTTGATTTCAGTCTTTTTTATTTACACAAAGTTATTGAATAATTTCAGGAGACTTGTATTATAGTATTTGGTTTAATTTTGTTGGGTTTTTTCAAACTTGACAGCAAGTATGGAAAAAAGGGACGTGAATATTCTTCCAAGCATCTCCGTTTGGGTTCCACAGTCAGAAAAAAAAGTGTATAATTTTTCATTCAGTCAAACTGAGGAATGTTCTCAGGGTTAATAAAATGATTTATGAGGCAATACAGCAAATCTGCCACAATTTTCCTAAAATGTGCCAGAGTTACTTAAACATCACTATGCAGAGTTCCCTCTACCTCCCCCTCAGGCTGACCCGCTCTAACTTACTGAGAATGAAAACAAGGAGATGATTTTCAAAAATGCTCAAGCTCATGTTTTTGTTTTGAAAACAGGTGAGGGGTGTTATACATTTGCCACTCTCCAAGCGGAAGAGGCCCTCCTCCAGGAGATAAACTCGCACCGGAGGGGAGAACGAGAGAGAGGAGACAAATTGCTACAAATGTCCATGTGTGCCCTTCGACCCTTGTCCATGATCTAGCCAATGACATCATGTACCCTACATTAGTAGGAGTCACTATACCTCCTGGATTTACTTTGGCAGAACATCCAACCTTCACGCAATCCACAGACGTACCTTCAAAAACACGGACAATGGAAGGCAAGGAGGGAGGAATCTCAAAGATGACGAGGGGGTCCACAGGGAGGTGTTTGTGTATGTACGTGAGGAAAGAGGGAGGTGCGGGTATACGTTCGTGGAAACCGGATCTCCTCAAAGGGCCGGAGGGGTTCTGAAGAGCAGATCCCAGATGGTTACGGAACAGGGAGGTACACTCATAACTTAACAGCTCATATGTGAGCCATAAAGCAAAGAAGAAAGGAAAGGTGGCCGGTGCTGGAAGAGAGAGGAGATGGTGGTGGACAAAGCGGGCTTGAGTTAGAGACGCTGAATTGGAATAGAAGGTACTGGACACGGGGAGAAATGGGGAGGTTGGGAAGGAATGTAAAATGGGAAAACGAAATGTTCAAGCTAGCAGGTTAACAAGCAGGCGGATAAGCAAGACCCTGTTAAGAAGCCCTCCCTAATTGTAGGAGCCCCTTACATCCATGTGTAATAAAATTGACCATGAAACCAGATCCCTGTCTGAGTGGCTTATGGCAAGGGAACGGTTGTGTGTGTGTGTGTGTGTGTGTGTGTGTGTGTCGGGGGTTCAGGAATCCAGCACATGGGGCTCTGCTTCTCTACTTTCCCCCTTGTTCCAGGACCTCACTTTTCTCAAAATTCCTACAGGCAGTGATATGGACCTGATAAAGCAGAGTGGATGGGGGACGCACACTGAGCCCCATTGCTTGAGCGCGCTGCACCATTTACAAAAACGCAACACAACTGCTCAAGTTACTGCCACCAGCACAAAACATCTAAAAGCACAAAGCTGGAATGCTTCTAAATGCCACACTTTCCTGTTCTTTCT